TGATGAAACAACCACAGGCTGTGTGTGTGTGTGTAAGTGTCCCGTCCATGTTGCCTCCCCGTGTGTGTGTAGCTGTGTGCTGTGTGACATGAATATCCACTGATAAAACAATGACTGAGAAGAGGTGAATGTGAAACCAAACCTGCAATGTGAATGTTACAGGACACCACCAGAAGGAATTAACACACGCACACCCACACAAGTAAGTACAAAAACAGTCTGTTGCGCTTTATTCTTGTCTGTGCACACTACCTGTATATTTTAGGAAACGTATCCATGCGGATCACAACGAAGTACAAGATTGAGGTATACACAAAATATAACTACATATTCCTAAGGGAAACATGCGTTATTTTGATACAGATTTGATCGTTACATAAGTCAGTTAAGGTAAATATCTTGTTTTGTTTGTGTAAGGGAACTCACTATGGCGAGCTCCACACCTTACTAAGAATTCAGTTTATCTTTTTCCAAGGCTTTCAACCACAATCACAACTTGCCATTCAATCAGATTTGTCAGGTCCCGCCATTAAACAGTTTTAGAAGACTTATCAACACTGCGTGTCGTCCTTAATTATTAAAAGCAATAACCAAGGACTGAGTTTTGACATCAAAAAATTGTTTGTACGACTCAAGAGTCATGCTCACTAGCTTTAACAAGGAGCATATCAACACATATTATCACTTAGCAAACCTTCACTTGAGAACCAACACGTGCACATCCCGGAGTCACTACTACTCTGTCTTTTTGTAAAGAAAAATAGCAAAAGTAGGGTATGCAGTAATAAGAATTTTTGCTGGTGTTTAGATTGGAGAGTATTACTCTACACTTATGATAATTATTGACCAAAATCACTAATTACACCAAACACGTCAATAATAACCATCATAGGGACAATGAGCTATACTTTTACTTGTGATACTTTAAGAGCATTTTGTTGGTAATACTGTATGGAGTATTTTCCAAGAGAAGGAATTTAAAAATTGAGTGTCTTTGACGACACTTGTAGCTTTCTGAAGAGCCGCTGTGAAGCTCAGCGTGGTCGGCTCTGGCCACTGCCACTTTGGAAGTCCTGATTCCGGCCGACTACTGGCTAATGCAAACACAAGGTGGGCTGAATGAAGCCTGGTTACTGAGAACAGCTGACTTTGAAAGCATCCACCTGTCACTCAAAGCGACCACGGCTTTAATTATGCATCAATTTAAGCCTTAATCTAATTTGAACAGGAGATTTATTTAAAAATTCCCCCCACTTACAGATGTCATGGACGAAGCTATAGACACTGAATGTGTTTTATGTACCAGGCTGTAAAACATGTTTATTCCTGCTGTAAAGTTGAGAACTTTAACATGGGGTCTTGTGGAGATTGATCACTTCTGGAGCCGGCCCCCAAGAGTCCGTTTGAGGAACTGTTATTGTTACTACCGCTTTGTGTATCACCTGCAGTAGATGGCGGTCGGCGCGACCCCAGTTCAGGGGAAGCAAACAGGAGTACCGGCACGGAAGCTAACCAATGTGGACATGTGGACGTGGGCGGCAACAAAACATGTTAGTCATCTGAAAGAAAGAAATAAATATCAGCTATATTTAGAATCTTTTCACCACGAAACTGAAGCTTTAGATCTATTTATGGTCTCTCCAAAGCCACGAGACTACATCACTTCACACTTCCGTCAGAAAGGACGGTGTGACAAAGTAAAGCAGTGAAATACTCTCTCCCTCTATAGCATACACATAAACTGATACGGATGGGTTTCATTTATATTTTGTTTTACTTATTAAACATTGTATTTATTGGTAATTATGTGGTTTCTATGTGTAGTTTCAGTTTCACTATGTGAAGAACTTTGGTCTCTATGTTTGTGTGAAAGGTGTCGTATAAATAATGTTGAGTTGCATTGAGGTAATACACTAACTATGGATAAATACCTCATACAACCACACTTCAACAAACCTTAACTATCTCTTTAAGTAGAGGATTTCTTCCACCACCACATATTGCAAGTGTATTTATACATTAACTCCAACCTACCAGAAAACGAAAACCACTTTATATACGTGCTACCCAAACCTGTGAAAACGATACTAAAATGTTCATGTTCTTAACAGTTAAGCAACTAAACGAAACCAGTAGTTAAGAGACAAGAAAAGACTGAGAATCTCAATATGAAATTAACCAGATTTTCGATTTCTTATTAAAAATATTTTACTTTGTGAACTAGAATCTTTAAAAACAAGCCCAAAAATAGTCTGTAGATCGTGGTACCGCCAAAATAAAAGGTGATTTTCTTCCTGCTGCTTTAAATGTACACAGTACAGTCAACCACTGTCATAGGTTCAGTGCCTTGCTCAAGAGCAGTTACCACTAAAAGGAGGAGAAAGTTTTACTCATTCACTTTCCCAGCTTGTCGAGACATTCAGACAGTCGTACAGTCATTTAAAACTAAACTGACCTTACTCATAAATGCAGAGTTGTTTGTTTACAGTACGGCGAGCCAGAGAGAAGCCACATGACAAATCAGACTCACTCCCACAGTCCTGAAAAGGATGTGTGATTTTTCAACACCCACCCACACGTATTTGATGGGCGGACAGATCTTTCCAAAGCCATCAATAACTTCTGCTGATGTTTTTTTTTTTGTTTCTCTCTGGGTGGAGAGATATGGAGCATCAACACATTTCTCTCTTTTTTATCCATAAAAGGTTGCTTTAGAAAAAAATAAAATAAAATAATAAACATATGGAGAACTCAGTGTGCTTTGAACTTTAAGCTTTGTGGTGAAGCACATTAAAATGCCTCAAATTCCAAATAGAGATTGGTGTGTGAGAACATCCAAGAAAGAAAAACGTCCAACTTTAGGATTAATAGAGGGTAGTTTTAGAGGAGGAGGAGGGTGGGGGGCTATGTGTCTTCTTGAAGTGGAGCATAAAACTGGACTTCCCAACCCCCTTATAAGGCATTTCCCTGAGAACAGTGGGAGGGGGGAAGAGGGCTAAGCGATGCAGGATATTCTCACAGGATGTGATGGCTGGTCAGCAGCCGGAGCCGTGAAATGTGAAGGGAAGAGTCAGCTGAGAGAAGCTCTTCGGCTTGTGGTGTTTGCTCGGTTACTATCGATCTGTGAGTGGGTGGGTGTGTGCGCTGAGGATGTGAAATCAACATGGTCAGGAGGCACTGCGAAAATTAGTCATCAGCTGAAAGTGAGGTAAATGTTCTCCAAAAAAGCATGTTGTTCTTGCATGTTGTTTGGTTTTTGGAAGCCTTGGACTAGACTGTGAGAGGAGATGTGTGTGTGACTGTGTGTGTGCATGGTTACTAATTGCAGTGGTGGAATAAGTACTCAGATCTTTAAAGTACCAATACAACAATGTAAAAATAACTCCTTTACAAGAAAAGGTCCTGCATTCACAGTAAACGTACACAAGTCTTACCAGTTGTTAGTTTGTAGAAAAGATTTTACATGAAAAACATATGATAAAAGGACATATTTAAGATAAAATCTCTATGTTCAGATTGTGTTTTTACTACTTTTACTCAAGTAAAGGGTCTAAATACTTTTGTGCATTATTATTATTATTAAATCTGCCTGAAAGGAAATTTGATATAAAAATATAATTAAACAAGATGTAAAACCAGCAGTTAAAAGGCAGGAAGAGGATGAAATGCTGTATGATCGATGTGAAATGATGCAAAGAATTTTGATAACATAATAAAAATATTTCACTTTCTTAAGTAGAGTCTTTAAATATAGTCTGTAGACTATGATACTGCCAAAACAAAAGTATTCCTGGTCCTCCCGCTTCAAATTTACAGCTCCAATAAAAAGAGGGGTAAGAAGGTATGTATTGCCAAACTGCTGCAGGCTTAAGCGCAGTATGCAAAGAGTAGCTATTTATTACGCTATTAGTATCAGCATGTGGTACTTAGGAGTTGGTTAGTGTCTGGATGCATGAAGCAGTGATTGCTTACTGTTTGTAGCCAGCTCCAGGTGGGCTATTTTGAATACTTTATTAGTTAGTTGAGATTATTTGTTCCGCAACTTGGGCCTTCAGTTCGCCCCGCTGTCAGGAACCGAGTGTCACCATGGTCGTGGAGGATAAACAAAACAAAGTTCGCTCACACTAGTAGTTTCATGAACTTCGATTTGGGGTCGAACAATGCATTGAACAGAATTGTCTTGGCGGGATGGCTGATGCAGAAACCTTGAACTTGAGGACCACTTGAAGCGTGCTTGTTTGTAGGAAACAAAATGTGAGACTCACTGGTTTGGAAGAGTAATGTAGAGTAAGGGTAGATCACATGAAGGCACTAAGCGAAACTCGCAGTTCGGGAGCCTGCTCCACGTGGTTGTAGGATTGACTCCTGTTTCCTTCTCAGTTTCTGGGCTGAAGCGTGTGCCGCTCGACTTTCCTCTGGTCACGTGCTTTTTTGTAGGAAAAAAGGTTGGAAACTACTGGTTTAAGATAATTAGATAATAGATAATAAGATAATAAACAGTCGAGCCTGTCAGTGTGTAGAATTGACTCTTTTCCTCTCAGTTTCTGGTGAATCAGTCTTGACTTCTCATGCAGTCATTTGATTTGTGTATGAACCTGAAAATGTTACGTGCATCATTTCACATGTTCTGGAAAATGTCCTTTTTCCCAGTAAAGAACTTTAATGACTATTATTTGAAACACTGCTGTGTATAGCAGTTGGTATCATCATCATCAGTTCTCTCTGTTATTTCTTGTAATCTTTGTAGGTGTTATGCTATCTGATAAAAGCATAAAATGGCCAGAATTAATAATAATAATTATAAGAAGAAACACAAAACAAAAGGTCCCTGACCAGAGCGACATTCATGGTTGGTGCTTTAAACCCTGAGGCCACTAGTTCCCAAAGTGGGTACCACTGCACCGTGGGGAACCTTAAAGACGGGCCGAAGGTGCCATAAAACTTTCCCTTTCCCACCCCACATCGAAACAGAAGAATCTAAAATCAATAATTAAATTAAAATTCCAGTTAAATGTGTAGTTATTGGCAGCTATGATTGGTAACGACATCTCATTGGTTGGCAGTTGTCATAGTAACACAGGCTTCATGGTGCACAGGTTTGCTCAGTCAAAACAAGGAATGGACATGAAAAATAAAACCTTTAAAGTGTTTTAGTATAAAATCCTCTCTTTGTGTTACTTGTAGGAAAGTGTCTGGTGAGAAAGTCTATAACTTTGGAGGATAGTTTGTCTCAAGACTCATGTTACCTTCAGGCTGAGAATGCATTTTTTTAAACAATAAAAGGATTCATATGTGGATTTTGTTCCACTGGAGGCATGTTGGGAAGGGATCACTTCAGGTCCAGCATGGAGGAGGAATGCTACAGCAACCGTTAACTGTCAGTATTATCCAAAAAGTTGAAAATACCCTGCACACAGCAGTGCTTCTCTTCTGTGTGCCAGCTTGTTTTTGATTTGTACCTTATGATATGATATAATTTTGTCCAATCAGCGCAACTTTTCGCAAATTTGACCAATCGTCATAGTTTTCTGTGAGTTTCACCAATCAGAGCAGTCCCCTGTGCAAAAAGTTGAGCCATACGTCACCAAACTACTAGCAGGTTTATTCTCAGTGGAACAATTTAATAAAATTTTTTTATTTACTATACAAAAAACTAAATATATCGCAACTAGTATTGCAATTTTAACTTTGTCTCGCAAGTTAATTGCAAACAAAATGCTATTTTAGGCCGTAACAATCCCACAACTAGCCTGTGTAATATTTGAAAATATATGAAATAACCAGTTTTGCACTGAAATACAAGATTTCCTGCTAATCAGCACCTGGTTGTAAACCCGATGCCAAATAAGCATAGAGCGATTCGATGTGAACATGTGAAACGTGGAATTTGCTCCTTTGTGTTTTGTTTTTAATGTAATAAAACATGTCTGTATTATATTAGATAAACTTGTTTTAACTTTCAAATCCCATCTTTTTGTGACTAAATGTGATGTAAACTGCCACACACATCAGATGTTATACACACAAAGGCTTATGGTCAGAGTTTTTAGTATTGTAAGCAGTTGCAGCAGAAATAACAAAGAAAGACTTTTAATGATGAGACTTTCTCGAAAGCATGCCTGATGTGGTCCTCGATGGCTGACAACAGATACAAGCTGTTTGCCCTCCAGCAGTTCTCGAATAAATCAATGTGTTTGTTTATGGCCGGCTTGTAAGCAACGAGAAATGTCACTTTCAGGCTACCACAAATATGCCAAGAAGCTCAATGTACTCTGCTCTCAGAGAGAAAGCAGAGAAGGAGACAGTTTTACGAGCTGTTTTTGGATGGGTTGGGGGGGGTCTGGCCACATGGTTTCAATTATGAACTACACTTAATAACTTAAAATATTTTAATCTATTAAGGGAAAAGGGAGAGAAGATGACGAAAACCATGGGTTGGTAATAAAGGTGTGGGGGTGTATTTTCTTTAAGCTGAACCATCTTTTAAAGCTGTTTTTTGGTTTAAAAAACGTGAGCAATGCGAGAGATATCATTAGTCATTAAATAGCAGTTAATGTTTTGAGTTAATTTAAAGAGAAATAACCATTGTAAAAAGTTTTTTGTCATTAGAACAACTCACCACCATAAACCTCAGAGGACTGTGCTGCTGCCAAGAACATGCCCTAGATACACTGACTCATAAATCGACCCTCCACGTACACTTTAAACATTTGTCTGTATTGTGTCATGGTCAGGCAATTTGGCAGTATGCTGACATAATCAGACTTGTGTGTTTGTCTCTGTTCGTAGATCCAGATGGATGTGTTTTGCAGCGATCTGAGCCTCAGAAGTGCCCCAGTGAACCTTCCTCATGGCGTCCAAATGCTGGACCTTTCACGGAACCAGGTGCAAAATCTCACCCAGGAAACTCTGGCGTACCACACCGGCTTCCATCATCTGAATCTCCACTCCAACAAGATCCACTTCATCCAGCCGGGACTCTTCAAAGACATGACTGATCTTAAAGTCCTGGATCTGTCCAAGAATCATCTGAATGTTTTTGCCCTCTCCAAAATCAACATTGGGCCTCTTACAGCTGTAGAGTCGCTTGATCTTTCAAGCAATGGGCTGTACACAGGAATGTCTGATTATTTCCTGGCTGATTCTCCATCGCTGGCAAACCTTTCTCTCAGCAGCAACAGCATCACCAAAATAGCACAAGATACTTTCAGAGGATCCCAGTCCTTGACAAAAATAAGCCTCCACAATAACGTCATCTTGGAGATTGAAGACGGAGCTTTTGAGTCCTTAAATCGTCTGTCTGAACTCGATTTGTCCAAGAACTCAATCACGTGCATCACAGACTTCAACTTACGCAACTTAAAAATGTTCAATCTCAGCAAGAACAGCTTGGAGCTTTTCCAAAGCACAAGATCAAAGGATCCCCACAAACTTATTGGTCTTGATCTGAGTGAAAACAAAATGCCTTACTTTCCTCTTCTCCCCATAAACAACAAGCTTGAATACCTGGACGTTTCAAGAAACCAACTTCAGAGCATCAACGTCACAGGTAATCCTGAAAATAGGACAACAGTTTATTTTTATAACCTGAGATACCTAGACATGAGTTACAACCAACTGAAGAGCATACCAGAGTCCTTTTTTTACTGCATGGGATTACTTGAGGTCCTGAATGTGAGCAACAACTGTATCAGCTCGTTTTCTATCACTAATGTAGGTCTTCTACAGAAAGTGAAGATTATTAATCTCAGCTATAACTCGCTACAGACTCTCACATTTGGGGAACACACTCTGCAAGCACTGGAGGAGCTCTTCTTAGAAGGAAATGACCTCACAACCTTGGGCCATCAAATGTTTCAAAGACTTCCAAATATCAGACACCTGCACCTCCAGCAGAATAACCTGGAAATCTGCACCTCGGACCAAAACCACCAGAATCCTCCAGATTGTGTCTCCTTTTCTTCCATTACAAACTTGCAGTTCCTGAACCTCTCTGAAAACAATCTGAGGACTCTGCCTGCAAATGTGTTTGCCAACACCCCTTTGAAGTTACTGGACTTGTCCCAGAACCCGGGCTTAGACATGGACAAAGACTCTCTCTCTGGTCTGGAGCATTCCCTGGTTCACCTTCTCCTGAGGGAAAACAACATTTCCAGCCTAAACACAGAATTATTGTCACTGAAGAGTCTCAGACACATCGACCTGTCCACCAACCAGTTAACCGCTCTACCTATGTGGAACAAAGAGTTCTCCATTGAGTCACTAAACCTGCAGAACAACAACCTGGTCACCCTGGAGTACAACACCATAATCGCTCTGGAGCACTCGCTAAAGACTCTCTACATGGGCTACAACCCTCTGAACTGCTGCAGCAACCTCGGCTTCCTCCACATGGTCCAGCACTCGGCTGTGGTGGTTCCCGACATCGAGACTGTGACCTGCATTCACGAGGAGTATTCAGAACCCGTCAACATCGAGAAGGTGACCCAGGAAATGTGTCACAGACCACGCATCCAGAACTATATTATTGCTGTTGTACTGACGGCGTTACTTATGATCATCGTGCTGGGGCTGCTGGTTAAATGTTGCCACTCAAGGAAACGAAAACACCACCGAAGCTTTAGCGCGTAATGTGAATGGACAGCGCAGGGCCATGAAGCAGTTCATATTGGGGACTTTTAACCAGAGACAGTGGAAAAACATGAATGTAGTGTCTGTGATGTTACCCAAAGTCTTCTTAAGGGACAATTTAAGACCTTTTTTGGGGTTTATCACTTCCATCTTTGCGGGAAGAGAGGGAATAAATCCAAATTCGAGATGGGACATGCAAGAGACAACCACAATGGCTGACTGAGGTTGACACATCTCAATCAAGAAAACACGTGCCATAACATCCCCTAAATGAAGACTAATACATACATACACTTTCAAAACAGAAGAAAGAGAAGTTCGGACTTTTTAAATGGACTTTAAATGGAAGTCAGAAGTTTCTTGCATTCAGCATCTAGTAGCCATTTCAGGAACCACAACTTTAGAGCCTAATGGTTAAGCAGGAGTTTCTGCTTGGTTTCAAGCTACTTGCTAACCATCAGTTTTTTTGAATGTAAAATGGAAAAATCCACACTTAAACACTTCAACAGTTTTGACAACTTGCTCCACTAACAGACCAGACTGAAATGCAAACAATAAAATGATAAAGGAATAGAAGATTGACTTTTTAGGAAATACACTTATTCGCCTTCTTGCTGAAAGTAAGCTAAATATGAAGCTACAGGCAGCAGCCATCTTAGCTTAGCTTAGCATAAAGACTGTAAACAAGGGGAAACAGCTAGCGTAGCACTGTCCAAAGGTAACAAAATCTGCCTACCAACACCAATTAACACATTATATCTTGTTTGTTTGTCGCATGCACTAACTCAGTAACTCCAGGAAGTCACTGCACCCCGTCAAAGAAAAAGTCCGGCACCAAATAAGATATAAAAAAAATAAAACATTTAAATTAGTGTGTTTTAGAGGTATTGGTAGGCAAAATGTACTTTCTTACTTTTGAAAAGCACTAAGCTAGCTGTTTCCAGTCTTTATACTAAGCTAAGCTAACCGGCGGCTGGCTGTAGCTGGTATCTTCTCATCTAACTTTCAGCAAGAAAGCAAATATGTAGATTTAAAGGACCAGTATGTAGCATTTAGTGGTTATTTACAATGCCCCTATTGGTTTTTCCATTGAAGGTGACCCACGGCATGTAGATAGAAAAAGCTAATTATAAACAAAACAAACAAACAAAAAACATTACTCTTATATTTCAGGTGATTATACACTGATGAAAACTATGAATGTTATATTCCATCTTTGCCAATAGATCCTCCTAAATGTTACACACTGGTCTTTTCAGGTTTGAACGAGGGGTTCTCCAACGCGAAGATAAATCTGTGAGTGAGACAGAAAGATAAATCAGATTTAGTGTTGACACTGGAACAAAGTCAGATGTCTTCACTCAGTGACGTTCAGTGTAAGACTATCTGAGGGTGGAATTTTCCAGTAAGCTAAAAATAAAGAACACTACAAAAGGTCATAAAACAAAATGCTCTGTTCATGGATGATGAAGTATGATAACATGAAGTTGTTTAAGAGTCATCTGAGATGACTCTCCACTGAGTTTTTTATGAATAATCCCTTTACCCTTTATGTAGTTTGCACTTTAAATGTTCTTTTGTGTGACTTTATCTTGTTCTATGACTGTTAACACTAATGAATGAATAATGTTTTAATTATAAAAACTAAGCTGGACATTTTAAACAGTATGTTTTCTGTATTGATCCCAAGCCTGTGGTCCTCCTTATTTTGGACACAAAATCAACTAATTTGATATGAAAATGGGGAAGAAATGAAGTAAAGTGAAGAAGTGGACTAAGCACTGAAAATTAACAACTGTGATACTCTGATATTGAAGTACAATACATTTACTGTATTTTTTTTCTAAATGAAGAAATTAAATCCGGCGCTGTAATGTGGTGGGCTACACTGGGATCCACAGTTTCATACGATTTTAATGTGTTTTATCCTAAAATTATTATTATTATTATGATATTACTATTGTTATTATGTTCAAGTCAAGTTGATTTGTAACTTTTCTCATCCTGTGATGTTATTTTAATGTAATGTAAGCAATATTTTGTACCAAATTAATTTTCTACACTTAAACCCTGTGTGAGACATTATTTGTGTAATTTTAAAGTTTCTTTCCTCCTCATTTACCAGCTAACACCTTCAACTAGAGTCTAACTACAGTCACCACTTCTAAATCCCTCCACATCCTTTAGCAGTGTTCGGCGAGCTGAATTCTTTTCCCAGGATGGCGAAGGCATGACATCCCAGCTAGCAGGGAATGTTCCCACAACACTGGCTAACATTGGCTACCACGGAAAACATTTTAAGAATGTCAGGGACAAATGTTGAAATAATGTTATCACTAAACATTATTCTTCCTTTAAGAAGAATATTCAGGGTATTAAATACAAACTTCATGCTGAAAATATTAATATAAATATTAATTGAACACGTTTTTAGAACCAAACATTTCTACCTGGGATAGTGAGGAATAAGGGATAAGAATAAAGGAAGACGTCACTCAAAATGCTGAATAATGTAGATGTCTCTATGTACCTGAAATCAAGCAGTTAGTTAAGTGACAATGCGAAAATACTACTGGCTCATTTTAGTTAAATACTGTTTATATCACAAGACATTTATCCTTTCCTGGCCACTTTAAAACTATCTGTACATATTCGGAGTTTAAGGAGTTTGGCTGGTTGCCTGCAGTTAAAGACAGATTATGGTACCATTTTATTTATACAGCTGACATTTCTTGCTCTTTTCTTATGTTCAGAGCTCAAATGACCAGTCAATTAGTCAATTAGTCAAAGGAAATTAATGAAATCAAAAAATCTCTGGTTCTAGTTTCTGATTATATATTTTCCTTTTAGTGGTCTGTGATGGTGAACGTATTGACTTCAGGTGTTTTGCAGACTACATGGTCACTAATATTCAGATTAAATGATGATGGATGCACACGTACACTTATTTGTGTATCAACAGAGGATAATCTTCTCTGTTGTAGTTTCACTTTGTAATGGTGCATTTGGGTGGGAAATTTTTCAACTTACCACCACGAAATTTCTGAGCTGTTTATGAGCCGTGGTGTTTAAATCAACACATCATAAACATGGAAATCAACCAGGTTAATGCTAATCATATTAATATAACTTCCCCTTATCTGCCATAATGTGTGTATATCAGTCTAACATCATAAAACTCAAACAGGCTGACAACCTTTTTTGGCATTTAACAGTGGCTGTGGCATTAAACTGTATTTGTATTAACCTTTAATGCAATTTACTGACTTTAATAAGACAGTATAGATGTAAACTAATGCACACGAGAAATAAAACTATTCAATAAACAATAAAATACATGTAACACAATGACAAATAAAGTAGATAAGAGGTTCTCTTTCATTGTTACATTTGATCCGGCTCTTTCACCCAGAGCTGAGACTTTTAATTTGATAGTTTTGACCCCTTTTCCTGCCTTTCTGTGTTTACGTTTGGATTAAAGCTTTAAGATTGAGAAAGTTCTGTTGAGCACAGGAAGCTTTATACTAACTGTCTAATGAAAGCCTTTTTTACCGTCTGTGAGTCAGACTCTCCATCCCCCCCAGGAGAGAGTTACTGAAGCTCATTTACCATCCAGGGTGGTACAGGAAGTTGTCCGCAGGCCGTCGGCTGTTTTGCGTCAAAGGGGAGAAAGCCTCTTTGTCACTTCAGAGACGGATATGAGAGTCTTACTGAGGTTTGAGAAAAATATTCAGCTAGGTTTTGTCTAAATAATGAAGCATCTCGTTGGTTTGCACTTTAATTTCTAGCATTGCACCAACATTAACATGTCAGTGGGTGGTTTTGTTTGATTTAAATACTGCCCTGAAGCTGTTTAAACACTGTGAAGCTGTTTAAAGAAGAAGATGCTGTTTAACTTGAACTTTGAAGAAGCTCCTCCATGCTGTGAAGCACGTATTTGCTTCAATAATAAATATAGTTTTGTCTATATATTTTTGTTGGGATTACATAAATAAATACATAAACGTTATTGTCAGACTTTGACGCATGAAAAAGGTTTTTTCCAGTCACACATTTAAAAGACGCCAGCTCTTGTTTCAGTGAATCAACGATATTCTTTCTGGTTGGGGTTATAATTGAGAATTTGCTCATTTAATGGTTGCTCTGTGGAGTTTGGAGCGACAGGAAACCCCAGAAGTAATCGACATCCTTTTTATCTCAAATCTAGAGCTGTCTAGACTGTGTTTATGTGGGTGACAGTTGTGTTTACCTTAATTAACAAGTGCAGCCCTTCTGCTGCTCCCAAGTTACATAACTGATGACCTAAAGTTCTGTATCCTGTTAAATTAAATCTCCTAAATTAATCCCTTTGATCCGAGGCCGCCTGGCACCTTGGAAGATACTGGAATTTCATACTGATGTTACTGTAACACCACCTTTGCTCTAGTAAAAGTAGAAGTACTCATTCAACTTCTTTACTCGAGTGAAAGTGAAATGTACTCAGAGTATAAAAGCACTCTCCCGGTTTCTCTTCTCTCTTCCCCGGTTCAGTTCGATGAACAGTTGTGATTGGTGTGACCGGATACAGGACTTTGTCTGAACGGGAGGGGAACCGGAGCAAATAAAACATGAGCTCATCTGATTACGGGGCTAGCCAACTTTAAACCAAAAATGATTTAGTCATTTAATTTAAAGGACTTGTTGATCTGTCAGGTGGAAAGCATGACGTAAATCCTTTAAATGCTGTTCCTGCAGTCAATCTCAGACAACGCTGGTTTCTCTTAACCCTGACAACCATTTTTTCCAAACTTTAACCAGGAGGTTTTTGTACATAAACTTGACCATAGTGGTGCACTGCAAAATTAATCTTAAGAAAGTAAAACAGTCTTGTTTCTGTGAAATTTGTCTAATTCTTTTCTTGTCTAAAAAGAAAAATAAACTTATCAGCCATGTTTGGCATTAAAAAAGTCATTTGTTTCAAGAAAATATATCAAACTATGTCTTAATAAGATATTTCAGCTTTTATTGAGCTCGATTCAATCAGTTCCAACGATGGTTTGCATAATATCCCAGCAGAGGAACAAGATTATTTTCCTTATTTTAAGAGTAAGAACACTCGGTTCAGTTACACGTCTCAGTTTAAGAGAAAGTTGTCCAAAATACTTGAGAAAGCAACAAGAAAGTCTATCTTAATAACTGAGTTTCCATTTCCTGTAATAAACACAACTTGTGTACATCTTTTGATTTGTTTTTCTACGTTTAAGGCCCATTACAGTTACTAGATTTTTATCGCCGTTTTAAGAATTCTAGCCAAGCAAAACTTGTCTTACCCCACTGGCAGATTGTTTTTCTCAACACAAGAAAATCTGATTATATTTAAGAACGTTTGGCTCGTTTCTAGAAGGGCTGTTAAAGTACAAATACCTGAGTACTTGAGTAAATGTAGTCATTCCACCATTTAATCATAGATTAAATGAAACGACAAACACTTCTTCCAAGGAAATCTACTGGGCGATCAAATGAGACTACTACACTCTAACTTTATTTATTTTTCTAGCTTGGTATCGCCTCTCCAGGGCAAAGTGAAAAATAGACAGTAGTGGAAGCTTCTCTTCCTCAGGGAGAGGTGGGGTCATGATGGTTCAGCCTCTGAAGGGAAACTGTGTCCCAGTTCAGGTCTACATGTATGCAGAGTCCTACCAGCCGTCGCAGCTGTACCACCCCGCCAAACGGCATCCTTTCCTTTCAAAGACTTTTCCTGTTCTTTTGTAAAATTCCACCATGTTTTTTTCCTGTTTATGAGATGAGCGCAGATAGAATCAGTGGGGGCCTACGGGAAGTGTTTGTGGGTCCTTAATTGGAAGCAGACCTCACTCACTTTTCCTCTTTCTCTGTGAGCAGGCACTGAGTCATAAATGAATCTTTAACCTGTATTTATCATAGTTTAGTCACGCTGAGATCAAAAGAAAGTTGTTTTATATGTGACTGACCAACGCAGCAGCAGGTCAGCCACACATTCAGGAGAGAAGAAAGTGAGGAGAAAGAGATTCCTCCTGAACACCTGCCGGAAACAAAGAGAAATATGAAAAAAAAAAAGGCCGGGGAAGGGAGGTAATAAAGCCTCTGCAAATAAATCTGTTTATCACTGCTGATAGGTCCTAACTTTTACAATTTAAATATACAGATATTTGTTTTAAACCAACCTGAATGATAACATGGTTCTCTGTGGGAGTGATAAAAATCTGTGGCGTGTTGGTTAAACAGAACCCTTGAAAAGTGTAACCGGTGGGGTTCTGCGTTGTGTTAGTGATAGAGAAGATAGCGGGATCTTTTTATGGCTGATGACCTCTGTTTGAGGTAAGAACCCGCCCGCTCCAACTCCTACACAAAGAAAATAAATCTCTATAGCTTAGTTTTTAAGGGGCAGTTTGTTAAAATCAGTGAATGTAAAATAGTGGCATCGTTTAGGATAATGAATGGGCTGAAACAAATGACACCCACCTCTCCTACAGGGGAGTTGTAGCCTACAAAAGGGGAGAAGGGAGGGGACCACAGAAGAAGAAATGAACGAGGAGGGGCTCTGAACGTTAACACACATGCATTCTAGAGATGAACTATAACGAGATAGATTGTGTATTTATAACATCAGAGATTTACACATATAAAACTTTGATGATTTCAGTGTGTATCAATACCTTTTGACCATCTTTAGCTCATTTTAATACTGATATCAGTGATCATTTTGGTCACAGTAATCATGATATGACAT